TGTGCTTACCTGTGTACATGCATATGGAATCAGAAGTCAGGTCAAGCTGGATGTCTTTCCCCTCCTGCACTCTGCCTCACTTTTTTGAGGCAGAGCCTCTTACTGAAGGAGGAGCTTGCCATTTTGGTTAAAATAGATAGCCAGTGAAGCCCTGGGATCCGCCTGCTTCTCCTGCCCCCTGAGGGTGCAGGTGTGTGGGCACACCCAGCTTTCTTCTTTTTATTAAGAACTTTTTTTAAAATTCATTTTTACACACCAAAGAGTCCCCTCTTTCCTCCTCCCGCCCCTCCAGCCTCCCCCTCCCAACACTCCCCCCCATCCCTCCTATAAGAAGGTAAGCCCTCCCCTGGGGAGGTACATTTAGTAGAGGCAGGTCCAAGCCCCTCCCCCTGCCTCAAGGCACACACTCAGCTTTTTAAGTGCGTCCTGGATTCAGAATCAGATGAAAGGGCAATGAATTTGAGAATAAAAGACATGCTACCAAGAATTCACCAAAAAGAAAAAAAAAAAAAAAAGGAGGAGGGGGTGGGAATTTCAAGGAAATGAAAGACAATATTGTAGGTAAGACTGAAGGAACCCTGTAGCGTTCAATATAACCAATGGAAAAAAGACAATCTAAGATACATTATTGGGAAGTTTTAGACTTTTAAGCATACTGGGAAAATCTAGGAAGAAAAGAAGTCAGAGAGGCGTAGGAACTGTGGAGACATCAGCTGTTTCAGCACCACTGAGAACAGGAAAAGGACATTTTCCACTTGTGTGCTTCTTGTGTACCTCTCTGACGAAGGTGTTGTTGAGTCTGTTCTTCAGCAACACGAGAGTCAAGCCAGTGGCATGTTTGGGTGTTAGAAGACATTACCGATGGGTATTTGATGGATATGTCAAGAAATCTGGACAGTATTTTGGTTAGATACATGTTCTAAAAGACAAGTAAAGCAAGGTCAGATATTAACTCCAGAGGGGAAACATTCAAGAAAAATGTTACCATGCACTCTACTTGGCAATGCAACCTGGTCAGGATGATGTAAGCCTTAATTACTGTTTATCAACTGTGATGAGGCTAATTTGGGAGCAAGGGCAGGGCAGGTGTTGGGGGATGTGGCGGCAATGGTGCTGTGGGAAAGAGCTAGATCCTCAAATACAGTGACAAGATGTCAATCAACAACGCCTGGAACTGGAAATCAAGAAACTGTATAAGAATGGTATTAGAAAATAGGGACTACACAGCAGGGGTTGAGGCCGGGCTGACGATAGGTGAGAAGTGGGCAGGTTATGGCTTTTACTTGAAGCTTTAAAAATTTCATATATATATATATATATATACATATATATGTATATATATAATTAAAATAAAATGGAAATAAAAGTAATACATATATATTCAGTGGGAAAAACACATAATGTAAGCAAAAATCACCCAAAAGTTATCTAGACTGTCATAGACTATCACCCCACAGGGATAACATTTCTTAGTATCTTCAAATAGCTCCTCCCTAAGACACAGTTGAAAGTACTTTCAAATACTCGATATCTGGCAGAAAAATTCTTGATAGCCTAAAAATTCTAAAGCAGTTACTCATTTTTTCTTTTTTCTTTTTTTTTTTTGGTTTTTCGAGACAGGGTTTCTCTGTGTAGCTTTGCGCCTCTCCTGGAACTCACTTGGTAGCCCAGGCTGGCCTCGAACTCACAGAGATCCGCCTGGCTCTGCCTCCCGAGTGCTGGGATTAAAGGCGTGCGCCACCACCGCCCGGCTAGCAGTTACTCATTTTTATTACTAACTAAACTAACAACCCCCCCCCCCCATCCCCTCTCTTCTCCCTCCCTCCCTCCTTCCCTCCCTTCCTTCCTCCCTCCCACTCCTGTGCTGCAGATGAACCCAGGGCCTTGTACATGCCAGGCAAGAGCTCTGCCTCTGAGCCATATTCCTAGCTCCAGCCAAAACTTTCTGATCAGAATGTGTGGTACCATTTAGGCCCCATATCTCCAATAGTCAGCAGAGAACCGAGGCAGTTTTTGGACACTTTTTCCTGAGCTACCTTGATATTTTAAAAACAAAGTCATTTCCAGCCTCAATTTTACAATCAGCTCTATTTAGAAGTGCAAGGATTTTTTTGGAAACTAATTCATCAGGGAAATTTGCAGCATTTAAGGGAATTTCTCTATTTTTTTCCTTTTAAGAGTAAATGAATAAACACTTTTACTTACCTTGAGCTGTTTCTATGATCAAAAAGCATAAAAAGTACAACTTAGCCTTGATGCAGCACATTAAAAGTGCAGAAGGACTTCATATAGTAAACACAGAATTTTGAGGAAGTTTCATTAGTTTCCTTTGTTCACCAAACTAGGATTTAAGGTGAATAAAGGAAATGAACTGTCTAAAGAAATTAAACTGCATAAAAATTTCAGAAAATATACAGTTGACAGTCTCTCCTAAAGTCATTTTTTTAAATTAGTTTAAAAGTTTTAACATTCAAGCTGGGTGTATATTACAGTGAATCTTGTATGAATTAGTTGCCAGCCTGGGATACCTGAGACTGTCTCAGGGGAGAGGTTGAGAAAAGTAAGTTTTGAGATTCAGCTAGTATTTTCTGAACTCTTTGCAGATCCCAGTCTTTGTCCTTAATATACTTACTAGTATGATCTCAGTACATTTTTTTTTTTTAATGCCAAATGCTGTTTATTGAAGGAGGGAAGAGGTCTTAAATACAGGCTTACAGCACAATGGGAGAACCCCAGAGGGCAGAAGTTCGCTAAGATGTTTTACAATCTTGCATCTAAGCTGCTAACGCCCATTATGCAGGATACAGAGACAAGGAACTTCCCTTAAGCATTTTGGAGGGTGGAACCCGCAGGGAATTAGCATAGGGAGGATATCAAGGTCAAGGTCAGCGAGCAAGGCAACAGTTACCCAAAACAGGGGCTAGGACCCTACAGGTCCCCCTTTTACTAAAAAAATGAGCTTCTGACTTAGGTTGCTCAGTACACTCTTGCGGTTGGTGACGCATTCATAGAGGCCTAATAGGAAGGAACAGTGAGACATCAAGTGTATTCCTGTAGGCTTGCTTGGTTATTACTGTTGGAGTTAGAGAATTGTAGATGTCAAAGGTAATGATGGTGCATTTATCAGGGGTGAACAGAGCAACTGACAACCCACAGTGATAAGCTAGGCGAATGTCTGTAGATGACTGAGTCCTGAGATAGCACTGTGAAATTCGTCCTATCTGGACTGACCCGGCAGATATCTGCATATAACCATCACAAGCCCACAGAGTTATGAGAGAGCTCCGTGAGTACACGGAGCAGCTATGGATCAAAGCAAAACAGTCAAGGGCTATGCGGGGTGTGAAGTATCTATAATGTTGTCACAGGTGTGGCCACAGCGCTGCTGCTGTCCTGGAATGCTCTGAGTGTCTTGGGCAGAACGTGGGGGATAGCTTGCATGGTCTTCCTGGTTGTGTTTCTGACCCTGTCGCCGATTAGAGGTTTTTCTCCGGGCCAAGACCTGGGGCTTTCAGAAATAACTGAATTGCTGTTCCATTTATATAGATGAAGACACACCTTCGGCGAGGTCGGTTAGCTGAAGACGGCACTACTAAAAAGAATCCTAGGTTCTAATAAATAGGATTTCAGTTCTATTACATTCCTGTTGAATATAAATACAGATGTGATGTGATGTTATGTGTGCACTTTCTGGTCTAATTCGACAGCAGATGTGTCGCTGTGTGTGTACATATTAGGTCAAATAATAAAGCTTTATTGTCTTCCTCACAAACTGCCCTATGTCATTAGTGGTGGAATTTCTAAGTGATTCCATTTATTTAGAATTTACCTCTTTCCAAAAATAGGATTTGTGACTGCATTTTGCAAATTATAGAGCTTATATGTGCTTTTTCATTATTTTGTTTTTTTTTTTCCCCCAGGCAATTCTGTCTGGTTGATATAGCAGATCAGAAAGCACAAGTTTATGGATTTGGCAACTTGGGATACTCAGCCTGTATAAAAATGTCCAGTCCTTCTTAAACACCATGAACACAGGGTGGTCCCGGATGTAGATAGATTGCTAATGTATCCATTTTTGTTACGTGGAAATAGAATCCAGGGCCTTGGGCATGCTAGGCAGGAGCTACACTCTCAGACAGCTTGCGGGTCCTTCACGGGTGTTCTCCAGAGGTTTGGGAAGAGGCTGCTCGGGAGACAACACGCCTCTTCTACACACACGCCTCCTACCCGGTTTGGCACACACCTGCAGCCTCAAACCAGAACGGGGCGGGGCTCGACTTTGGCCATGTCAGACGTGGCAGGAAAAAAAAAAAAAATAGCAATTGCCCTTTCGTCCCCTTCCCGATAAGCAAAACATGCCGATCCCTTGCCCAGCATTTGGGCATATAAAGCAGAATTCAGCATTGGAAAAGGGTTTTGGTTACGTGGCGAGCCGGGGCGCTGACCGCCGCGGGGGCGGACTCACATACTTCTCCCCACTTGCGAGGTCTGTGACTTGCTGGAAAAGCCCGCGAACCACACACTCCCGGCCCCCCGGGGCGAGGGTGAGCTCTCGGGCTTCCTTCGCAGCCCACCGCCGGAGCTCGCCACTGCGAGCCCCCGCCGAGATCGAAGTTCCAGCGCCGGGAGGTGGGCCCCCTGCGCGGCCTCCGGGCCCCGCCCACTCTGGCCTGGGGTCGGAGCCGCGGCGAGCGCCAGCCGAGTGCGAGCGGCCGCGGCCCCTTTAAGGAGCCGCTCTGCGGTAACCCGAGCCCGCAGTCCGGGCGGGCGGGCGGGCGCGGCGGCAGCGGCGGCGCGAGCCTCGGCGACTGCTCCTCCAGGCGTCCCCGGCTCCCGCGAGCATCTCGCGTGTGGCTCCGGCCGCCGCAGCCCTCGGGCCGGGCCGGATGACCAGGCGCCTGTGAGCTCCGCTGCGCTCTCCCGGCCCCGCGCAGCCGCCGCCCGCGCGAGTCATCCCGGGACCCGGCACAGGTGACGCCGTTTGGACGGGATCCGGGAGGAGGGCGGCCTCGCCCGGCGCAGCTTTCGGGCACAGCGCCGCGTCGCACCGGCCTAAGGCGGCCGAGCTCGGGCGCCCGAGGCGGGTGGGAGCGCGCGGGAGGCTCCCGCAGGTGTGCGGCGGCGGCGCAGCATCCTTCCTGCCGCCGGCCCCGCGACGCGTGGCTTGGAGCCGATGATGTCCCGGGCCCGCGGCCCCCCGCGCCGCCCCGAGATCCACTCGGCTCTCCCCGGCTGCTCGGTCCGGTCCGGGCTTTCTGCTTGGCTAGCGGCACCTAAGGGGTCTGAGCCCAAAGCCGGTGGGTGCAACCTCTGGGCCTGCAGGGGACGCTTTCTCGCCAGAGACCCAGCTCACAGTCGGGCGCATCAAGTGGCATTCCCCCTCTCCTCCCCAGCCTCTTTCTAAAACAAGTAGCTTTTATTTACCCCTGCGGTTCTCCAGTGGGTCCCATTTTTAGCAACCCTAAGTGCTGAAGTCTAGTGGAGGGGGGATTTGGTTTTTCTTTCCAGCACTATATAATAACCCCGGGCAAGTTGATTAAACTAAGTGCCTTGGTTTACCCTGTCAGGAAATAGGGTCTCTAATGCCAGTATTGATTTTTCCCACCTTTCCAAGATGGTAGGGAAGCCTCTGTGAAAGTAGTTTTGAGTTGTTCAAGTTCATTTAAGGGTCACTTGCTGGCCTGTGTGTGTGTGTGTGTGTGTGTGTTTGTTGTTGTTGTTGTTTTTCATTGCATTTGCGAGTCCGTGGGGACGTGTATGTAAAATTGCGAAATATTAAAAAGTGATCTTCGATGTTTGAATTAATTCAGATACCAGTTTGGAGGCAGTGTGGAAGAGTTTGTGTGGATGGTGGGAATTAATGTGTAGAGTAGACACAAGTCTGTCATTGTATTTAGCAAAACCTTTACATAGTCAGGAAATTGGGGGGGAAAAGGTTCTTGGATGGCGAAATGCTTCTGTACGAACATGTGGTGCCGGGTGGAACATTGCTTTACCTTTATAAGAAGCTCCTAAATGACTAAATTCAGGAATCCCACTTCCCGTTTTTAAGCGCTCTATCAAGTTAAAGATGTTTTCTCTTTTATTTCCCTTAACTTGTATGGATGAAACTAATTTAGAAACGTGTGCCCGCAATGTCAAACTTGAAAGGCTAGCTTGTGGAGCTTCCCTTCTGCTATGCCATGTGGTGATCCAGAGAATTTATTTTGAAGGTGCTTCTTTGTCTCTCTTCTGAGCCCCTGCAGCTCCTCCTCCCCTTCACCACACTGCCTCTGTCCAGTGTTTGGCTCTTTACTGTGTCATTTTGCGTGAGTTTTATCTGTTTGGGCTGGATGCCTTTGACCCAGTTGCTTAGTCATTATTAGTAGCTTTGTGTTTTCTGTTCCTTCCAGTAAAAGCCTTTGGCTCTCACCACTCACGTCTTATACTTACTTGGAAGGGACTAGGGATGGCAGTTGTCAGAAGGTTGGAACATCAGTCACCAGAGAAGAGGGTCGTTTGCTAAGGTTTTCCTGAATAGACCCACAGAGTAAAGATGCAAAAGTTGGCCTGTCCTTGTGTCCTTTTCTGAAATCTCCATGGGGGAGATTCCCTTGGATTACCATCAGAGGCCCTGGGAGCACTGAGTTCTCAGAAGGCCTGCTGAGTGCTCAGCTAGGTAAGAGCACTCCCTGCAAAGGAGTGGGAAGAAGCAGTACCTCTGTAGGCAGGGATGGCCACCTTCCTGGACTAACATAACTAATAGAGCAAGAGAGCCTGGTTTCTGAAGGGAAACAGGAGAGGGGCCGGGGTGTGAGGAAGGGAGTGGAGTAGGCTTGAGGTTGATCAGTCACTCTTTGAGTATTTATTGTCTCTCATCATCAAGGGCAGCTATGTTATAGTCATCAGACCTGCTCACTCACCTCCCTTGGTGCTCTAAAGGAGACCTGGCATGTCTGCATTCTTCTCAAAGCCCTGCATTTATTAGAGGACACCACACAGTTGAGTTCATAAGAAACCCACTTATGACTTCAAATCTCCCCCCACCTGGTTCCAAGTTAATATTCTTTATCTTTTGAGCTTGAGTATCACTTGGGAGGTTAAGAAGACCAAGAAGGGTTAGTTAGGCTGTCGACACCGAGATACAGACAACGGCGGTTTTTCTTTTGAGGAAGGTAGTGAACTAGTTAGAATAGTGGGCGTATGTACAGGAGTGGGCAGCCTGGAGGGTAGGGTTATGAGAGTTATATGGATTGCTTGCGCCATCATCCTTGAGCAGGGAAGGTGCCCCAGCAAGTGCAGTTTCCTATGTCCACTTGCCCTGTGAGGGGAAACGAGAGCCATGTGGAGGTGGAGTAACCGTGTGTCCTTGGGATGGACAAACAGCCTTGAACTGGATGATAGGGACCGCTATATTCACCTGACACTGGCCATGGTGCTCTTTGTATGAGTACATCACCTCAGGAAAGAGGTGGTTTTATAAGGAAACCTGAAGTACTTTGGCAGTGCTTTTCTTTGAAGGATGAAAGGTGGCACCCTGAGAAGCCGAGCCCTGCTGCTCCAAGGCCTGTAGTTCCGTGGAAGGCCTTGGATGTGCAGCTAGCAGATCCCAGGCCGGAGAAGCTACGATAAAGCAGAAATAGAAAAGGGGTTTCTTGGCTCAGATAACATGGGTGTATTTAGGAAGAGGCAATCCCGTGGATACATAAGGACCTTGTAAAGTAGTGTAAAAGGCCACTGTTCTTGAAAATAGTCCCCAAAGAAGATAGCTGCACATCTGCTCAGAGCTTGAACCACATGGGAGAAGGGAGCTGGCGAACAATGGGACCAATGTCCTAGGCTTGTCTGAAGCAATGTTCCAAACTTCTGGGGCTAGGACGTCAGAAAGTGCACTTTTACTTTGAGACCCAGAACATGAACAAGTACATGAGTGTCTGAAGCAAGTTTGGTTCTTACTCTGTTTCTAGTCTGCGTTTTTAGGAGCTCCTCACCTCCAGCCCCCTGTTTGTTTAATCAATGGAAAACCATGTTTATCGGGGGTCAGGGTGGGGTGGAGGTGGAGATGCTGGGGGAGGTGCTTGAGAGCTCTCTGGATCTGTCAGTGGGGACAGAAGGGAGTGTGGGAACTCATCTGGTCTGTGAGGGTCTGAGACTCTTACAGACAAAAGGCAGCTGGATGGGGAAGATGCGAACAGGGACTTCCCACTTGTTCCTTTTACTGCGAAGCCAAGCAGTTGCTTTTGAAGGGCGAGGAGGAAGAAGTGGGGAAGGGAAGTTGCATTTGGATTTCAAAGCAGATTTCTTTGGAGCAGCGGCTTTCTCTCCGTAGAGTGAGGAAACAAATGCCCCCCGAACAAAGTAGCTGATGGATTTAGGTCATGTCCTCTTCTGTGGGCTGCCTAGGGCAGCTCGGGGGCTTAGATGTGGGAAGATGTGAGTAGGAGGCTCATACTTCCTGGCTTTGAGGAGTTCTGAGCGAAGCCCAGGGAGTGTGTTGTGTTGTTTCTAAGCCTCACTTGGTGTTTGAACTCAGTAAGAAATTGGCTGCTGGCCTCACCAAGAATTGGAGCAGTATTCTCATTCTCTTTTATCACACAGCGAGGCTATCAGGACTTCCTCAGAGGCCCATTTCATGATCCATGATCAAATTCAAGTTTCTGCCTCAACCAGTGTCAGGCAGCTAATTCTAATGTGTGCCCTGGAGTTGACTAAGGGCTAAGACTCCTCTGTGGGTTTTTGATTTCCTTTTTCGTAACAATTAACATTTGACTCCCAACACCTAACACCTTGACACTTTTCGCCACCGGTAAAACGAAGCCTACCGAAAAAAGTACACAGGTATCAGAGTCCACCCTAGCCCGTTGCTTGGTGACTTCTTGCTTTCATCGTTGACATTCGACCTAGTTGGAGCCCCTCTTTGAAGCATCTGAATTCCTTATGTGCCTTTCTTACTACAGGTGGTATTTTTTAGGTGTTTGAGTTCACCCAGTTTCATCTGCCTGGCATTGGTCCAATGCTTCCAGTTCTGGTTTCACTAATATCATCTCTCACCTCCCCTAACTTTGGGTATCTGCCCGGCGACTCCTCTGAGCCCAATTTTGGATCCTGGATTCTAGAAACAACTATACGCCAACTAGCTGTCTATATTGGCTTTCATTTAACCTTCGGTTTGGGGGATAAGGAGAAACGATCTTGGTCAAGTTCATTTTACTTAGTTTTCACCATCGAATCCACTGAGAGATATATTTGGGGGGCTGGGAATGAACACAGTAGGGGGAGACAGCCTGGTAAGCCTCTGCATTTAGCCCCCAGCACTACAAAGGAAGAGAAAAAGGAAAGTGTGTATAGACAGCATTGAAGATGCCTTTTTTTCCTGCTATGTATTTACTTAATGGAATGGCAGCAAAAAGGAATTTTAATTGATGAAGTTTTAGGTGTTTTTTTTTCTCCCCGAGACAGGGTTTCTCTGTGTAGCTTTGCGCCTTTGCTGGAACTCACTCTGTAGCCCAGGCTGGCCTCAAACTCACAGGAGATCTGCCTGGCTCTGCCTCCCGAGTGCTGGGATTAAAGGCATGCACCACCACCACCCGGCTCTCGAATTTTTAGTTTTTTTAGTTAAATTTAAAAGCCCCCTGACAGAGTGTTGCATTTTTTAAATGGGACACAGTTTTTAAAACTAGTCTTGCTGAATTAACATGCTTGCTCTATCTAATACATGTAAAAATACTGGGGCACATGATCAAATTTTGTCATTTGTTAATGCTTTTAAAAAAAATTATGTGCATTGGTGTGAAGGTATCAGATCCCCTGGAACTGGAGTTACAAACAGTTGTGAGCTGCCATGTGGGTGCTGGGAATTGAATCCAGGTCCTCTGGAAGAGCAGCCAACAGCCAGTGCTATTAACCACTGAGCCATCTCTTCAGCCCCCTGTTAAAGCTTCTTTAAGGACTCATAAAGATTACAGCTTTGCTCAGATTGAGCGATATCCTTTGTCTTTTTTTTTTTTATTTGTTGTGTGTGTATATGTAGGTGTGGGGTATGTGTGTGTAAGCCAGGAATCCACATCCATGTCTTTCCCAACCACCCTCCACCTTGTTTGTTTGTTTATTTTTAAAGACAGGGTCTCACTCTGTAGCCCTGGCTGTCCTGAAACTCACTCTGTAGACCAGGCTGGCCTCAAGCTCATAGAGATCCACCTGCCTCTGCAGACTGCAGTTAAAGGCGTGGGCTCTCTCGCGCTCACCTGGCGCTTTCCACCTAGGTTTTAAAGACAGCATCACCTGCTGAAACTGGAGCTCAGTGTTGGCTAGACTAGAT